TTGGCAGCTCAGCGGCTGCTTAGCTCGGGCTGGACTCGAACTGCTGTTGCTCAGAGCTCAAACTCTTGAGCGAGCTCTTAACCAACTGAGCCACTTGGCCGGCCTCCTGTGATTCTTTTTTTAAAGGCATTTTTCCTTCTCTACTAGGAGGATTTTTTCAAAAAACCTCAGGTTGGGGGCTGCTGCAGATAGGAGGCATTGGCTGGGTCCCGCGCCTCCTTTGATCATGTTTCCTCTGGCAGTGCTATCTGCAAACTCACTGCGTCAGGCTGGATAACGAACCTCTTCTAGCCTGAAAGGATGAATGAAGCCCCCCAGGTGGAGAGGCAGCAGATGGACAGGGAGATGAGAACAGAGGCAGGGCAGAAGTGAAGCTGACCCAGTTAGAGTAGAAAGAGGCTGCAGGGGCTGCAGGAATGGCCTGAATAGGAAGTGAGAAGCTTCCCAAGACAAGGAAATAGAGGACTACATGTTGTTTAAGAAGCCTTGGCAAGGCCTTCGGGCTGCAAAGAGGGGCTGTGTGTGGAGACTTAGTGAGCTTGTGTGTGTGTGTGTGTGTGTGTGTGTACATCTGCAGGCTGTTGCGGGGAGCGGGTATCCTTATCAAATTTTGCCGCAATACTTAGATTTTAAAATCACAACCTTGGAGGAAATGAGAACCAGAAAAATCTGGAGCCAAGTGGGGAGTGCCACTGAATCTTGCAAGACTGAGCAGAACCCAAAATGTTCTAATAGGATTTCCCAGCAGTGGGTCAAGGACAGGTCTTGCCCACCACTGGGTACCTAGCTCCCATACTAGGCACTGGGGAGGGGCACAAGAAGCAAAGACTTAGGCCCAGCTTGGAAGATGATCAGCCCATCTACAGATACTGCCAGTGAGCTCCATGCTACATTGGGGCCCCATGGGAGATAAAGAAGTGCCCTTCACAGTCCCTGCCCTTCAGAAGGACGCAGTCCATTTGAGGGAACACTAATCCTTGTGAAGCAACAGTAAGCGATCCAATAGAGTAATTATTATTATTATTATTATTATTATTATTATTATTAAGATTTTATTGGGGAATTGGGGAAGGGCACAGTGTTAGGAAATTGGGGACGCTCGAAGTCCAGTCACAGCTTTCAATCTAGTTGCTGGGAACGGGGGCACAGTCCACCGTCCCACGCAGGAGTCGAACCGGCAACCTTGTTAAGAGCATGCACTCTCACCAGCTGAGCCATCCGGTCGCCAGTTGGCAGCTCAGCTCAGGCGCAGTTCACTGGCCCATGTGGGAATCGAACCAGCAGCCCTGTTGCTCAGAGGTCGTGTTCTTAACCAACTGAGCCACTCGGCCGGCCCGAGTAATTATTTTTTATGCTCCTGGATCACAAAAAGGATTTCTGGCATAATTGGGAAAGGCTATATGGAGGAGGTGGGCACTTGACTGGGCCCTGAGGTCTGGGAGAGCAAGATTGGGATGAGAAGGGAGACATGGGCATTCCAGAGTGAGGACACACAGATGGGCATAAGTTTGGCTTATGTAAGATGAAGGAGGTGACCAGCCTGATGAAACTGGAGGTCCACTGAGGGGAAACATGGAGAAATCCAGCTGGATGGGACAGATTATTGAGGGCATTTTAAACTTCTCCAAGGGACTTTATCAAAATCCCCATTTTTGAAGTGGTTTGGCCATTTCCCGACTCTCTCCTTTAGCTACAAGCCCATTGTGGAATTCATCGATGCCCAATTTGAGGCTTACCTGCAGGAGGAGCTGAAGATCCGCAGGGTACTGCACACTTACCACGACTCCCGCATCCATGCCTGCTTGTACTTCATCGCCCCCACGGGTCATTCCCTGAAGTCTCTGGACCTAGTGACGATGAAAAAGCTGGACAGTAAGGTATGGAGGCAGGGGCGAGGGCAGGAAGAAGGCTGGGCAAGCTGGATCACTCTTACTGGTCTCTTGTGCAAAGTAGAGGCCAGATTCTAGGAGAGGTTTTTGTTTTTGTGTTTTTTTTAACAGCTTTTATTCACTGATCTGTTTTTTATTTGTTTTGTTTTTTAAGATTTTATTGGAGAATTAGGGAAGGGGAATAATGTTGGGGAATTGGGGAAGGGGAACAGCCAAGTTGTTGTCCTTCAATCTTAGTTGTGGAGGGCGCACTAGCTCAGCTCCAAGTCCTGTCGCCATCCGGCTGCCTGTCAGCAGCTCATAGCTGCTCAACTCAAGGTGCCGTGTTCAATCTTATTTGCGGTTGGGCGTAGCCCACTATCCCCTGAGAGAGTCGAACCACCAACCTTGTTGCTAAGGGCGCACACTCTAACCACTGAGTAATCCGGCCGCCCATTGGCAGCTTGAGGCAGCTCAGCTCAAATTGGGCCGGTGGAGTGGCTGCCCAATCTAGAGCTCCCAGACCTCCCTTTCAGAGCTCTTTTCAGGACCCCAGCTCCATCCATGCCACCCCATTGGAAGCTGCTGGCAGGAACGACTGTTCTTCATGTGAACCTGAGCTTGGGGATGCTCTGTCTCACTAAGTCACATTTCAAGTTTCTTTACCTTCTGGCAACAAAAATTTTGTCCCTTCTTGGAGGAATTTCAAGGGTCAGGGTTCAGGTGGCTTGAATTTTGGGACAGCATTAAGCCTTTCTCCTGCTGCCTGAACTTGGATGTTTATGCCTGCTTTCTTTATGCAGAAATTAACCACAAGACTCAGACAGTATAACTTTTTGCATATATCTCAGATCAAATTGGTAACTGAGACGGTCTTCTGTGCCTAACTGGGTTGGCTCATCAGTGTTTGCTGCCAGAAAGAGAGCCAGATGTGCATCTTCACTGAGCTCCATCCTGCCCCCCCTTCCTGCCATTACCCATATGGGTCTCCATCATACTGGATGGGTTGGGACAGTTTACTGTTAGCAAGGAGTTGCCATCTTTCCCCTTGTCAACCACAGATTTCAAATCACCGGAGCAGTGACTTTGATATTAAGATATCACACAGGGGCCGGCCGAGTGGCGCGATGGTTAAGAACTCGCTTGGGATGCCAGAGGGCCCCGGTTCGGATCCCACATATGAGGGCCAGTGACACTGCCCTCCACAGCTAAGATGCTGAACAACAGCTCAACCTGGAGCTGGGCTGCCATGAGTCGCCGGCGACGGCGTAGGCTGCAGCCCCTGTGGCAGTGGATTGCCATGGGCTACCGTGTGTAGCCAGCAGCCAGCGTGAGCGGCCAGCAGCCGCAGTGAGCGGCCGTCCAGAAGCCGGCGACTGATCTGCCTCACCCGGGAAGAGCGCAATGATGGTGCCAACTTGGGCCAGTGAAGCAACGTCCTCCACAACTAGATTGAAGAACAAAACGACAGCAACTTGTCTGTTCCCCTTTCCCCAATTCCCCAGCACTGTTCCCATCCCCCCAATTCCCCAATAAAAAAAAAAAATATCACACAGCCCATCAATTTGGGTCTTAGCTGGTAGACAGCTCATGGTTAAGACTCTGGACTTAAGAATAAGGCTAAACTTGGATCTGGATCCCAGTTCTGCTACTTACCTGCTCTATGGCCTTGGACAAGTTATCCTCTCGATGCGTCAATTTCTCTTTGGTAAAATAATGGTAATGATACCTCATGGAAGGGTTATTGTCAGGATTAATTGTATTAATCCATGTAAAGCGCTTACTTCAGTGCTCAGTACTTTGTAAGCACTCATTGTCACTTACTATATTGTTATTTGGCTTACAGAGGTGGCCAGTCCTAGACCATTGGGTTGAGCTGTGTCCTCTGGTAGCTGGTGGAAGTCCTAGGCAACGCTGCTATCAGTTGTAGATTACCAACCATGACCCCACTTTGCTCCTCCCTTTCTTAGGTGAACATCATCCCCATCATTGCCAAATCAGACGCCATTTCTAAGAGTGAGCTAACAAAGTTCAAAATCAAAATCACCAGCGAACTTGTCAGCAATGGGGTCCAGATCTACCAGTTCCCTACAGATGATGAGTCGGTGGCAGAGATCAATGGAACCATGAATGTGAGTGGGGGCACAGGGGTTCAACTTGCTGGCCATTTGCTCTTCATTTCTATTATTAATATTATTTCACCAAATTAGCAGTCAAACATCTTCAACATCCATCTTAGTGTAGTCAACACTTGGTTATCTGAGTCTCAAGTATTTGTGAGAGAGAATCCAGAACCAAACAGCTCCTCTCTCCTAGCCATGGCTGCTTCAAAGCTTCAGAGATTAATAGAGACTGAGGGAGGGAAAGGCTGACTCCAGGAAGAGGCTGAAGCTGGGGATTCAGACCTCTCCTTCCACCTCCTCTTTGATCCTGTTCTGGTCTAGGCCAGGAAGCCCCTGGGGGCATTCCTTGTCTCTGACCCAAACGGTGTGGTGACAACTGATGCAGTGAAAGAAGGAATGGCTAAACAAGTTGGCTGGCTTTGGAGATTGAAGGATAAGCTATGTTCAGATAATCAGGCCCTTTGCCTCTGGGAGAAAAAAATGATATATAGCCTCCAATTTTCCTGGTGACTAGAGAAATGTTATTTTTAAGTTTCAGGGTTATACTTTGGTTTATTAAATATGAATGAATTTAAAGAAACCAACTTTCCATCTTGCCTCTCCTCCCCCTCTTACTCCCATTAGATCAATGAGTAATGAGGAAGGCAGAGAGTCAAACATCTCCTCGTGCTTTTTCACAATGTGTTGATGCTGTTGCCGTGAAATCTTCAATGTTGTGATTTCAAGGAGCCAGCTAATAGCTTTCAGAAAGTCTCTGCTTTGGGAACAGACATTTTTTTTCTCTATTGAAAGGCATCAGTTTTTCCTAGTGACATAATGCCTGGGTATAGCCAAACTCAGGAAAGCCTTGTAATAAAAGCCATTTTTAGAAAACTTTTCCTGCTGCTGCTGCCCCAAAAGTTATCGTTATAGCATCAGCCACCACCTCCTATGAATTGGCTGACAAATTAGCATAGCAGGGCAGAAGTCATTGTCTCGCCTGACTTCCTGCCCATCAGTACACTCAATATGTTTGTTATTAGAAGTCCCTCATCATCTTTGACAAATTTGGCCCAAAAGTAAGGCTATGTGGATTGTGGTAGGTGGAGTTATACCTCTGACCTGTTGTGAGAATTAAAAAAAAAATCAGTGCTCATCCTTTCAAGCAGTAAGGGTGTTTCAATGGAAACCAGGCTTGTCATAATGAGAAAACCTGAAAGGGTGCCTAGCCTGCAGAAAAACAGGAGCCTAGAGAGTAGCGTCATCTGATGTAACTGGCACTGATGTCTGGAAGCGCCTGTCACGTCCGAACATTGGGTGCCATGATATACCTTCAAACTTGGGTTCCCTAAGTCACCTGGCAACTTTTTCAGGCTGTGGTTTGCTTTGCTAAGAGTAGAGAGGGGCTAAGAATTCTCAGCAATCTCAAGGTGTCACACAAAACTACATCTCACTACATTACTGAACTCAGGTTCAGTGACACTTACCACCCAAAGAGCCCCAAAAAACTAGAGTGACAAGGGTTGGTGAGGAGAAAAGCGTCCTTTATTCTAATAGATGCCAACAGCTAGGGAAGATGGCAGACTCTTGTCTAAAAAACCACCTTCCTCAAGCCAAAATGATTTAAGAGGTTTTATAGGCAGGTGGGTAAATGGGAAAGAACAAAGGAAAGCAGACCTCAGGGCTAATAGTTGAGAAGTCGTCTCCTGGGGTCTTCTGAGGCCTCAGGGCTGCCTCAATGTTATCTTAAATCTTACTTGTGATTATGGGTCCCTGGCACCTGAAGATTAAAGAAACTGCTCTTTTCAGGTTAAGATGTTTGTTAATTAAAAAGGTATGGGTAGCCTTGAGAAAGGGAACAGACAGAGTTCTTCAGTTAACCAGTGGGAGGAGAAACAGAGGAAATGGCTGAATATCAGGATGGATCAAACTGCAAACTATCTAAGTTTGCTTGGAAGATGTGGGAATCGAACCAGCTGGCCCTGTTGCTTAGAGCTCATGCTCTTAACTAACTGAGCCACTCAGCCGAGCCCATTAAACTGCCTCTTATAATCTGGCCTTGACAACCAGTTCACTCCAGGATTTGGAGTGCTCACCTCTTCTGTTGCTCGACACTCTAAATAGGTGTGTCAGACCAGCAGGGATGAGCTTTGAAATGAAAGAGACCTGGATTCCACCCTTGCTCTGCCTCTTGCTACTGTGTGCCTGCTGGCAAGTTGCTTAGCTGTTCTGGAACTCAGTTTCTTTTTCTATAAAATGGCATAATAAGAGTGTCTACCTCCAACATTGTTGTCAAGATTCAATGAAATAATGCAAAGTAGAGCACCTGGTATAGAATGCATAGGGTTGAGTGAATTCCTGTTGCTGCGAATGCCAGTTCTATAGCTACCAATACTATTAGTACAATCGCTACTGCCTACTCTGTGAAGCCTGCTTTGATTCCCCACGTAGTTAGCTGCTCCCTCCTCTGTGTTCCTCCAGCCCTCGAGCCTGTTTATATTCTGAACCTTTCTGTATTATTATTGTTGGCATGTCTCTCCCCTACCAGACTGTGCACTCTCCAGGGGCAGGCTCTGACCTTTTTAAATATTGTATTCTTCTTAATGCCCAGCACATAGCAGGATCTCAGTAAATATTTGTAGAATGGATGAATGAGCAAATGCGTCAAAGTATCTATGATCAAGGCCTGTTTCTCCAAGCAGGCTAAGAAAGCTCCCGTGGACTTTTTACTTGTCCTTGTAAAGCCCTATTCAGGGTCACCTGGTGTGTAAACAATATTTACCCAGTGGTTCCATTTGGCCAATGATCACTCAGCACTTATAACCTGGTCAGCTCCCTGCCAAAGAGGTGCTAAGAGCATTTCCTAGGCCCACACTACCAACTGTAGGCAGATGCCTCCTTCTTCTCTGAACTACAAAGTCTTCATCAGTCAGGCTTCGCTCCTCATTACCCCCCTGCAAGCACCCAGCTCAGACCCTTGTTTGTATTTGGCCTTCCTTTTTTCTTTACTATTCCCATGGCCCTGCCACTGCCATTCAAGGAGTATATATATGAAGCACCTACTATGTGCAGGACACCAGACCATACATTTGTGCCCTTGGTCATATTCTGTCTTATATGATTTTGGGGTATGTAATTCAGGCTTCCCCAACAAAATTGTAAGCTCCTAGAGGGCGAGGGAGTGTGTCTTTTTATTTTGTCTCACTACAGCACCCAAAAAAAAAACCCAGCACAGTCATGGGCATGTGGATTAATACTTATGGACTTGACTTCTAGGCTCAGGAGTTCAGTGTGAACTCTTGCTCAAGGGAAAGACAAGAACAAGATGTGTACAGCTCAGTCAGCAGTGTGGTTTCAGCATATACCTATTCTCGGGGCGCTCTCTCTCTCTGAGAAAGGAGGAAGACCAGTGATCCCAGTCCCCTCTGTTCTCCTTTAGCTTCAGTCTACACGTAGCCCCCCTCATCCTACTCACCCGCCTTCCAAAGGCTCTTCCCCTCAGCAATTGTGAATACTGAAGAGCTAGCTAATCTGTGTATCTGCTTATTCTCCTGATATTCTGTCTCTGTCTGTTCCCTATGCATTCAGGTATGTCATTGTTACCTTCTATTGTGAATTTCTGAACAGCAGAAGCCTGGACTAGGCCTCTTACTGCCACACAGCTTGGTAGTTTAAGAAATGCCTCTTGATGTTGATGACAGTGAGGGACACTGCAGCATGAGGGCTTGAGGTGTACGAGATGAGCAACAGTTGTATTGTGGGAGCCTCTGCATTTCCCCTGGAGTTCTGAGCTTTTGTTTGCCTTCCATTTCAGGCCCACCTGCCTTTTGCTGTCATTGGCAGCACAGAAGAACTGAAGATAGGAAACAAGATGATGAAGGCCCGGCAGTACCCTTGGGGCACAGTGCAGGGTGAGTGAGTCTCTAGGAGACAGCAAGAAGGGAGCCCCTTCTGTCTGTCCCTTTGCTTGTCCCCAGCCACTGTGTAACCAGTCTCTAACTTGTCCCCAGTCTCTACTCCTTTGGCTTTGGCCTCAAACAGCCATAGGGGTCACCAGCAGGCAAACTATATCCATACTTATATTCTCTGCTCTTTGTCTCCAATGGAAAAAACATTCCTAAAACAAAAACAAATGTACCTGGAGCGAGGTGGGAAGGAGTGTGCAAGAAAGCATGTGTCCTTACTCGAGTGTGCCAGAAGATGTACAACGATGTCCAAAGCAGTGGTGTTCATAATAACAAATAATTAGAAACAACTCAGGTATTCATTACAAATAAATTGGATGAATTGTGAAATGTTCAGATAATGGAATATTATACTGCAGCGAAAATGAAAGGATTAGTTACATCTGCATGAATGCATCTCAGAAACATAATGTTGAGCTAATTAAGTCATAGTAGAATACATGCTGTGTGATTCCATTTATATGAATTCCAAAAATAGACAGAACTAAGCAAGATATATATCTTTAAGGATTCATATGTAAGTGGTAAAACTATAAAGAAAAACAAAGGAATGATAAACCCAACAGTCAGGTTAAGCATCATGATGGGGAAAGAGAGATATGAAATCAGGAAGGGACATAAAAGGGGCTTCTAAGGTGCTGGTAATGTTTCACCTTGGCTGTGGATACATTAAAAAAATTCTTTAAATTGCACATTTCATACACTGTTTTGTATATATGATTATTCTGCAATTTAAAAACACATATTGTATTTACACTCAGGAAAGTTCCTTTTATGGTCTGTCTGATGCATGTTACACTCGGGTTAGTCAGTTCAGTGGAAAAAAACAAGGCCTAGGACTCTGCCATTGGTGGAAGAGGTGCCTGGTCCTCTGAGTCTGCAACTATAAGCCAGGTCTGGGATTACAGGGCACCATGTGTGACAGTGGCTAGCTCACTGCCTACTCACAGGAGTAGGAAACAATTGAAAGCAGGTGGGAAGTTGTCCACATTGTACCCAAAGGCCAGTATGATTTAGGACACACCAGAGACCCTCCAGCGGCAGCCAAATTTTCCATCAGTAGAGCAAGACTGGTTGTCAGAGCTCCGCTAAATTTAGGTCCTCTTTGCCAAGACTGGGAATGCTCCACTAGGAATATTTGCAAATGGTTTCCGGACCAACATTCCCACCCTGAGAATGAATTTGTGGTCTGAGAGACAGGAACCTGGGGTGGCATGAGGAGAAGCCAGCAGGTATGGTTCCAATAACTTCCTCCAACTTAGACGCACACCTAACAAACAAAGTGTTTTTGAACATTTTTCTTGTAAGCCAGGGGTTCACTGTTCTGTTCGAGTGAGGAAGAAGCTGTGTATTGCCTGGTCAGCTTGTAGGGGCCTTGGAAGTCCTCCTGACTCTCTGGAGATGGTTCTGAAAAGCTGCTTGACTGATACAATTTTTTTTAAAGATTTTATTGGGGAGTTGGGGGAGGGGAACAGCATTGGGGAATCGGGGAAGGGGAACAGACAAGTTGCTGTCCTTTTGCTGTTCAGTCTAGTTTTGGAGGATGTTGCTTCACTGGTCCATGTTGGTATTATCATTGAGCTCTTCCCGGGTGAGGCAGATCAGTCGCCGGCCTCTGGACAGCCACTCACAGCGGCTCTTAGCAGCTCACGCCGGGTGCCGGCCGCTCACGCTGGTTGCCAGCCACTCACGGTAGCTCATGGCAGCCCACTGCAGTCTACACCATCACCGGTGCTCACGGCAGCCCAGCTCCAGGTCGAGCTGTTGTTCAGCATCTTAGCTGTAGAGGGCGCAGTGTCACTGGCCCTCATGTGGGATCCGAACCGGGGCCCTGCTGCTCCGAGCTGGCGTCCCAAGCCAAATCTTCACCAACGTGCCACTTGGCCGGCTCTTGACTGATGCAATTTTATTTTTTAAGATTTTATTGGGGAATTGGGGAAGGGGACCAGCCAAGTTGTTGTTCTTCAATCTTCGTTGTGGAAGGCGCCAGTTGCCATCTGGCTTCCCGTCGGCAGCTCGCGGCCTCTAAGCTCAAGGTGCTGTGTTCAATCTTAGTTGTGAGTGGGCGAAGCCACCATCCCATGTGGAAGTCGAACCAGCAACCTTGTTGTTAAGAGCGCACACCCATATCCACTGAGCCATCCGGGCATTAGCTCAGCTCAAGGTGCCGAGTTCAGTCTTAGTTGTGGGTGGGTGTAGCCCAGCATTGAAGAGGCAACCTTGTTGTTACAGCAGCTGAGCCATCCTGCCACCTGTTGGCAGCTCAGTGACAGCCCAGCTCGGGCGCAGTGTCACTGGCCCATATGGGAGTCGAACCAGCTGCCCTGTTGCTCAGAGCTCGCGCTTTTAAGCCAACTCTTAACCAAGTGAGCCACTAGACCGGGCCCTGCAATTTTTAATATTACCTTATGTTCAGGCTGGCCAAGTGGCTCAGTTGGTTAGAAGCACAAGCTCTGAGCAACACGGTCACCGGTTCGATTCCCACATGGGCCAGTGAGCTGCGGCCCAAGCTAAGCTGCCAATAGGTGGCGGGATGGCTCAGCTGGTGAGAGCACGTGCTCCTAACAACATAGTTGCCAGTTCGTCTCCCTCACGGAATGGTGGGCTATGCCTGCCTGCAACTGAGATTGAACACGGCACCTTGAGCTGAGCGGCTGCGAGCTACTGACGGACGGCTGGATGGCAACTGGACTTGGAGCTGAGCTAGATGCGCCCTCCACAACTAAGACTGAAGGACAACAACTTGGCTGTTCCCCTTCCCCAATTCCCCAACACTGTTTCCCTTCCCAATTCCCCAATAAAAATCTTAAAAAAATAAAAAATAAAAAAATAAAAGGAGCACTTTCAATTAAAAAAAAGTACCTTATGTTCTATGAGAGTGAGGAGCATTGTTCCAAAGGCAGTGGGTCTTAAGCGGAGAGGTTATGTGAACTGATTTGAGATTTGGAAAGTTTACCCTGATGACTGCAAGGCAATCTGCTGCAACTATGCTTCATTCTGTCATCCCACACCCCCTCCCTCCCCCCACTATCCTCTCCCATACCCTGTGAGACAGAATCTGGGGTGACTGCCTGCTCATCATGTCAGACCACACTGTCCCCACATGATCAGGCCTTTCCCATTCTGACACATTGGAGCCATGCCTAGACACATGTGCCAGAGCACTGCTCACAACCTTATATTCCAACCAGAAGTCCACACTGCTATGAATTGGTCCACATCTCTGTCCTTCTGGGCCACTGCCCCAAATGCAGATCTTTGCCACACTCTTGAGGAAAGGGCTTGTTCACTCAGGCTGGAAAGTGGAGTCCACTTTGTCCTGGTCACCATTGCTGCTGTTGAGGCCATTATCCACCCTCTAAAAAATACCTCCTTTGAAGCTTCTACTATTCAGATGGGCCACACACCCCTTGTCACCGTTGTCTATTGATGTCTTAGTTCTTCCACCTTGTTCTTTGGGGACTTTGGCACTTGGTCATATCCTTTACCTCTGCTTTAGATTACCTGAATTGGAATCCTAACTCTGCAACTTATTAGCTATGTAACCTTGCCTAACCTCACTGAGACCTTGCAAAGACTACTCCCTCATCTGCCTGATAGATTCCTATTCTTCCTTCAAGAGTCATCTTAGGGGTTGCCTTTTTGGTGAAGCCTTCACTCGCCCAGGAGTTCTTAGCCCCCTCCTCTTCTGGGCTTTCATTGCACCTTGGCTATATACCTCCATTTTTGGAATTTTTGCACTGCATTGTATTTGTCTATTTGCAGCTATTCTTCCACTAGCTCCTGACGGCAAGACTCCATGACTTCATTTCTGAATTCCCAGTGCCTCATACAATACTGGGAACAGAGAGTCCACAAATATCTATTGGAAGGACAGCTGAATGTACATGTGCCATTGTCCTAAAAGTGGTGCAGAGCAAGCACTCCTGTGTCTGATGAATCGGAGTTGAGTGGTTCTGAACATCTTTGTAGATATTTTTTATAGCATTGCAGTTTTCCATTACTGTCATCCTTGTAACTTTTCACTTGTTTTTCAGTAGAAAAGCAAATCAGGAAGCAAATTCACAGGCTGTATATATGCAGATTGAAAGGCGATGTCAATGTTAGACATTTCACCTCTCATTTTGTCAATTTGTGCTTCTTATGGCCTTCCTTGCAACACACTTTCAATCCCCTAACCCAGCGGTTCTCAACCTGTGGGTCGTGACCCCTTTGGGGGTCGAACGACCCTTTCACAGGGGTCGCCTAAGACCATCAGAAAACAAAAAGATATTTACATTACGATTCATAACAGTAGCAAAATTACAGTTATAGAGTAGCAATGAAAATACTTTTATGGTTGGGGGTCACCACAACATGAGGAACTGTATTAAGGGGTCGCGGCATTAGGAAGGTTGAGAACCGCTGCCCTAACCCTTCTATGCAGTTGAAAACGAGGCCCACTGCGACTTTGTGAAGCTGCGGGAGATGCTGATTCGGGTCAACATGGAGGACCTCCGGGAGCAAACCCACAGCCGGCACTATGAGCTCTACCGCCGCTGTAAGCTGGAGGAGATGGGCTTCAAGGACACCGACCCTGACAGCAAACCTTTCAGGTACCTCTCCTACCAGCCCAGCCCAGCCAGGGGTTATGGAAGCCTTGCCGTGGAGCATACACAGGGGCTAGACACAGGTACCCAGATGAGAGTGGCAGGGCTCAGTCACTCGCCAGTTCCACCTGCTTGTCCCTCTCTGCCTCTGCACACCTATCCCAGGGAGCTGTGGTGAGGGGGACTTGGTAAGCACAGGGCGAGGAAGGGGGCCCAGAGGACCAGAAAGGTCGATAGTCTCACGGCCACAAGTGCGTCTGCGTGGGCACGCACACACGGCAGCTAGAGGGGGGCCCTGAGCTGGAGTTTTGTTCTGCAATGTGGCAGTTTGTGCCTGTCATCTGCCCCACTTTCTTCATTGGGCTCCTGCTGCTCTGTTGGGTTTCCAGTGTGCTCTTTACCCTCCTGCCCATTATCAAAACCAGACAGGACCAGGTAGCAGTCCTTGTACATGTGTTGATGAACTTCGGGCTCTTCATTCACTGTCCTGAATGTTTGCATTCAAGTGCATTTTGTTTTGACCACAGGATGTTAATAAGCATTGACATACTTCTCAAATGAGAATTTAAGATGGTTCTAGAGAAAAGGAATGTTTTCAAAAGCAGTTTACTATGCCAATAGGTATGATATGCCAAGTATAAGTGATCTATATGCACGATGTGTGACATATGCCCCACATTTTAAGTGACCATATGGTGCCCTTTACTGGGGCTTTGTCTCATTTTAGGAAATGTCAGGCATCGATAAGCAAGTGAGGGGGAGGCTTGTGGACTAAGAAGGCTTTCAAATGGCCTTTGAGATCCCACTATACCTGTTCACGGTGGAAAGCCCGCCTGGGGGCAAAGCATAGCCAGTCCTTCAGGGATGCCTGGTTCTGGAGGGCGGGACTCACTCCCTTTCACCGACAGGAGCCGCTGGAGCTCCTGGGGTTGGAGGAAGGTATGCTCGTCTCTCTGGTGGGTGCTCCTTCCTTGGATTTCTGTCTTCTTCCCCTCTGCCAGCTTTAATCTGCATCTGTGGCAGAAGCGTTGTGCCTCTATCTGTTAATCTAGCCCCCTCGTCTCCTCCTTTGCTCCATCCTGAACACCTGTTAGCCATGTCTTCATCCTTTGCACTACTTCTCTGCTGACTCCTTTTCATGTTGCATGCAAACATTCTCATCCTAAAGAAACTTGCCCCTTAGTGCTTTTCCTCACCATCCTCTGCGCTGTTAAGAAGTTCAGCTCTGGGGCCGGCCGAGTGGCGTGATGGTTAAGATCTGGCTTGGAACGCCAGAAAGCCCCAGTTCGGATCCCACATATGAGGGCCAGTGACACTGCCCTCCACAGCTAAGATGCTGAACAACAGCTCGGCCTGGAGCTGGGCTGCCGTGAGTTGCCAGCAATGGCATAGGCTGCAGTCCCTGCTGCAGTGGGTTGTCATGGGCTACCATGTGTAGCCAGCAGCATCCAGAAGCCGGCGACTGATCTGCCTCGCCTGGGAAGAGCACAATGATGGTGCCAACTTGGGCCAGTGAAGCAATGTCCTCCACAACTAGACTGAAGAACAAAATGACAGCAACTTG